TATCAATCAATTCTATGGATTTCATTCTATGATGGTGGTGGACAGGTTTTCAAAATATTCAGTCTTTATTCCAACTCCGCATGAGTGTACAGCGGATGTTGTTGCTGGATTATTTTTCAAGAATATTGTGAAGTACTTTGAAATACCTGAGGATATTGTGAGTGATCGAGACTCTCGGTTTACAGGAAAATTTTGGACCATGTTGTTTAACATGATGAGGTATGAATTGAAGTTTTCAATAGCAAATCATCTGAATTATTTGTTAGGAACAAAATTCACCGTTCTAATGGATAATGTAACCAACACATATTTCCTATCCCAAAATAAGTTATCAGCAAAACAAGCAAGATGATGGAGTTTTTGGCTGAGTTTGATTTTGTGTGGGTTTACAAGCCAGGCAAGCATAGTCAAGTTGCTAAAGCACTCTGTCGAAAATCTGTGGAAGCTTATGTATCGACTTTGATGACAGTCGAATCTGATGTTCTTGATAGAATCAAATAATGGGCTGAAAAGGATGTTGCTTATACCAAGTTGTCGCAGAAAAATAAGGATGGCTTCGTAAAACGTTATAGAATTGAAGATGGTTTGATCTATGCCAAAGGTAACAGATTATATGTGCCTTCAGGTGAGGGACTACGAAAAGTACTGTTGAAAGAAACTCATGATCGACTATGGGCAAGCCATATAGGGCATCGAAAGATGTTAGCTTTGCTCTTGAAATTGTATTACTGGCCGAAGATGGATGACGAAGTAGAGGCATACGTGAAATCTTGCTTGGTGTGCCAGCAGGATAAAACAGAAAGGAGGAAAGAAACAAGTTTGCTCTAGCCTTTGTCGGTTCCAGAATGACTCTATCAATCGATTCTATGGATTTCATTCTATGGTGGTGGTGGACAGGTTTTCAAAATATTCAGTCTTTATTCCAACTCCGCATGAGTGTACAGCGGATGTTGTTGCTGGATTATTTTTCAAGAATATTGTGAAGTACTTTGAAATACCTGAGGATATTGTGAGTGATCGAGACTCTCGGTTTACAGGAAAATTTTGGACCATGTTGTTTAACATGATGAGGTATGAATTGAAGTTTTCAATAGCAAATCATCTGATGGTGGTGGACAGGTTTTCAAAATATTCAGTCTTTATTCCAACTCCGCATGAGTGTACAGCGGATGTTGTTGCTGGATTATTTTTCAAGAATATTGTGAAGTACTTTGAAATACCTGAGGATATTGTGAGTGATCGGGATTCTCGGTTTACAGGCAAATTCTGGACCATGTTGTTCAACATGATGGGGTCTGAATTGAAGGTTTCAATAGCAAATCATCCGCGGACAGATGGTCAGACGGAAAGGATAAATGCATTGCTAGATGAATATCTCAGAGACTATGTTACAGCAAATTAGAAAAATTGGGTTGCCTTGCTTGAAACGGCTCAGTTTTGCTACAATCTACATCAATCTTTTGGTTGGCCGAGTTGACTATACGGCATATGGCCAAGAAACCTCTCGAGATTGTAAAAGAGGGGGACGCAGTGTGTGTCCAGCTGCTTTTTTGATTTGCTCAAGATAAACATGAGATGATTGAGCAAGCAAAGAAGTATGCTGATCAGAACATGGGGGATGTGGAGTTTCAGGTTGGGGATAAAGTGTTGTTGAAATTAGCTCCCCAAATTTGGAAAAAGATTAGTAGCAAGACCGTACATCGTGGGCTGATTCAGAAATATGACAGTCCCTTCGAAGTAATCAAGCGTGTTGGGAATGTAGCGTATCGATTGAAGCTACCTGATCGTTTGAATGTTCATCCTACTTTCCATGTAAGCTATCTGAAGCCTTTTAATGAAAGTTCGGTGCGAGAAGATCGTTTGCAGGCCAAAAGGGCTCCTCCTACGATCAGAAAACAATATGATAAGGAGACGACAAAGATTATGAGTCATCGTACAATGTGGGCGAGTAAGAAGAATAGAAGAATATACTATCTTGTCTTATGGAGAGATAGTAACGGGGTTGATGCAACCTATGCAAGAGATGTCGATCTGTGGCAGTTTGAGGACAAGATGAATGAGTATTTTGGCTCTCTTTCGACAAGGACGTCAGACTCTTCCGGTGGATAAGGTTTGTCAGCTCCTTAAAGGTTGACATGCGCAATGGCATGAGCACACCTCGCACTCATGCCAAGATTTTGTAGATAGGTGTATTGATGGTGTACACTTTGAATTACCGAGCAAAGAAACTGTGGGCTTTAATTTGTGTGAATGATTATTCAATTTGGCCTGTGTCAAAGTGTTGCAGATTGGCCCATAAAGTCTTGCAAATTGGCAAGGCATAGGCTGAACCAGCTTGCTTTTAGTGGGATTTAGCCTACAAATTCGGGTGTCCAAATTGGGCACATGTT